AAAGGGACCCCCAGGGAAAAATTAGACGTCTTCGAGACCTGATTTTTTTGGGTTATCCTGGGGGGAACCCTCTGGGGTTAATTTTTGGTATTCTCAAAAAGCCACCCCAACAAGGTGCTACAGCAGCAGCAGCAGCTGACAGTGCTACAGCAGCAGCAATGGTCACAGCAGATCGGGCAGTATACAGCATAGCGCGCTAGGTGGTAACCAGCACAGGCAGCTGACAGGCTACAGCAGCACCCTTGACAGTGCAGCAGAAAACAGCCGCAGCTGAATTTTACAGCAGCAGCTGACATGCACACACAGCAGATGGTGCTACGCAGCACAGCAGCAGCTGACGTGCTACAGCACAGCAGCTGACAGGCAGCCAGCAGCCAGCAAACAGTTATGGCAGCAGCGCAGGACAGGCTCAGAGCACAGATGTGCTACAGCAGCACAACGTACACAGCAGCACAGCAGCCAGCAGCTGACAGTGGTACAGCGCAGCGCAGCTGATGGTGCTACAGCACAGCACACGCAGGCTAAGCAGTAGCAGCAGCAGCATTGCCATGGTACCACAGTATTTCAATAATTTTCTCACCCTTTTTTACCACAGGGTTGGCACTAAAGCTTTCTTGGGGCCCCTGTCACTTTTTTTGCAGATAAAATCACCCAAAAAAGCTGTAATAATAAAAAATGCTCCATTGTACCTTGGATGTTACGCGGAGGCTGGCTTGAAATAGCAACCGGGGGAACATGTGAGGTGGGACAGGGCCCCACATAGACGCGTCTGGAGAAAGCGTTTTTGGGGTTTTTTTAGACTAGGGGGCAAAATTTTAGTATAAAATGTAAACGCTTTCGGGTTTAACGTTTGTGATGCCAATGGATGTGGGGTCCCCTGTAGTTGTTAATTTTTGGAATCCTTTAACATACTTTTGTAAAAACTGACAAAAATAATCATTAAATTAGAACCATTTCCAGTTTGTTATCCCTCAGCTGTCCCTTCCCAGTTTTAGAGGGGCCACTTTTTCCCTCACCTTCATCCTGTACACTTGAAAAGCCCTTTTTTTATAAGTCTTTGTTTATTTGCAACTCAATTTTTATGTCGGTTTTGCTTTTCTAAACCCCTTTTTTTACTTCTCTTTTTTTAATGAACTGTTGGGCAGTAAGGTTAATCCTCCCCTTTTGATGGGGCCCAGAATTCCCCTTTTCTCTCCTATAAATGCTTTTTTCCTCCGTTTTAACCCATTTGGGGGATTATTTTTTGACCTAATATCTCTTTGGGGGATATAATGCTCGAGCCATTGTACGTTAAAAAAAAATATAAAAGCAAAGCCCTTTGTAATCGTAATATGATCATCTAAAATTTTTGGCTAAATACCCCCAACCAGATTAGACAGGTGTTCCCCAAGTCCCTTAAAATCGGCAGAACGAAAATCAGGAACTTTTACTATTTATCATTATTCCTATTTACAGTAAAGTAAAAGTAGGATTTGTGATTACTTCAACCAAGCTCTTCAGAGATCTCCAGTTATTTACATGGTTTCCTTATTTTACAAGACAGGCAAGTTTTTACCCCGGAGGGTTTTTGTTTTCACACTGCTTCAAAAAAAAATCCTGAACTACAGTGACCCCCCATAACGATGGCATGCATACATTTTTTCCCCTAACGATTCTTTTTATCGCAAAATTTTTGCCCCGCATACCATTAAAAACCCACATACCGATTTCGCCGAGACCGTCCAATTTGCCCTCACATGTGCCGGCCGCCCCTTGTTACCACCACCCCCCGGTAACTCCCCAAACATACACCGGAATATTTCGTATTATTACAGTGTTTTCGGGGGTTTTCTGGGGAAAAAAATGACCATGGGCCCCCGAAAGCTTCTAGTGCCCCAAACCCCGGGTAAAAAGGGTGAAATTAGTATGGAAATTAAAAAGATTTTTAAGGGTTTGGGCTAACCCTGAGAACCTTGCATTGTGGAATCCATTTGCCTACTTCAAAGATTAAGGAAATGTGTGCAGAGTGGTTTGAACTGCAAACCTTTATAGATGAAAATCACCCTGACACAGCTGTTGCAAGCCGTGCTTGTGACTATTTCAATGACAATGTTTATGCCCATTTTAGGAAAGTCTTGAAGAAACGGGGGGTACAGAGCTCTATGGACAGATTTGTTGTGCGACAGAGGTCCAGTGACTCTGAAGCTGGTCCTAGTGGCATTAAAAGAAGAAGGGAAGTTAACCCCAGAAAAGGACTTGCTACCTCAGTCCTAATGGAAGGGGATTCCCCTTCTAAACAGAAAGAAGATAATGCTCTCCCCTCCTCCCATCCCATCAATCATCACCAGATCTTCAATAAAAGTAAGTGTCATGTAATTGTGCATGCCTTTTTTCAGTTTGTGTGTATTAAAATTAACATTTCATGTGGTTTAAAAAAAAATTTTTTTTCATACTTTTGGGCGTCTTGCACGGATTAATTTTATTTCCATTATTTCTTATGGGGAAAATTAATTCGCATAACGATTATTTCGCATAACGATGAGCCCTCTTGCACGGATTAAAATCGTTAACCGGGGGTCCACTGTACTTCCATAAAGTCACTGGACTCCAGATTACCGGTCAAAGAATTCCTGTCAATTTGACTAAAGTTAAAATCCCCTACTATCACTACATTATTGTGTCTAGAAGCCCTAACAATTTTGTCCCAAAGAAGTCTTCCTCTTTCATGATCCAAGCCTGGAGGTCGGTATATTACATGTACAATTAGTTTTTCTTGACCTACAAACTCTACCTATACAGATTATGTTACTAATCCATCTATTTTTATACCTGTTTTGATGCAACAATTTATATTTTCTCATAAATATAATGCAACTCTTCCCCCTTATATATCTTTGGTTAGGTCTCATTTAGATTATACTGCACAGTTTTGGTCACAGTGTTGCAGAATGAATATAAATGCACTGGAAAACATACAAAGGACGATGACAAAGCTGATCCCATGTATCGGAAATCTTCCCTGTGAGGATAGACTGAGGACCCTGAATCTGCGTTCTCTAGAAAAACATAGAATTAGGGGGGATATGATTGAGGTTTATAAATGGAAACAGGAATAAATAAAGGGGTGTAAATAGTGTGCTAAAAATATCTGGGTTTAAGTTGGAAAAAATTCAGATTGATGTAAGATTTCGGAAATCATTGGTTTTGGAATAGAGTGGAACAAACTCCTGAGTCCCGTTATAGAGGCTGAAACATTTGTAGTTTTTAAAATAGGTTAGATAAATACATGAGTGGTCATGGGTGGGTGTGAGTTGACCTGACTAGCTTGTGCTACTAGTCAGAAATGCCATGCTCTTTATTTAAGTGAAGTGTGACCTCCCTGACTAGCATTGGGCCAAAGCTTGGTTAGGAGACTTGGTCCTGTCTTGCATTGGGCTAGTTAAAAACCTTCTGCCAGCTTTCCCTCTTCTTAAAGTTCATAAATATTGCAGGTCTGCAGCTAAGTACATTGGTCTCTGGTGCCATGGATCATCTGGTAATATCTACTGACTTCCATATTTCTCTGAACTGCAACATAATCACACCCTTCTTTCCTACCGATGTCAGGTTCTATCTTAATGAATTTGAATCATTGTCCTAAGGAGAGTGATGCCTTGTGCTGTGTGGCTGTCTCTCCGACTCTGCTTCAGGGGAAATCTTCCAAATGTCCACTTATTCAGTAGCTAGAGAACCCACCAACCTTAGTGATCTTCCCTGCCTGTCAGCTCCTCTTGTGCCGTGTCTCTGGTGCCACTCCTGTCTCTAATTCTTTGTGGTTTTACCCCTCTGAACCCCCCACCTTCCTTACCTCATCTTATCTACCTCTACTTCTCATCTTCTTGGCCCCTAGTTTCCTCAGTCTGCAGCCTTGCATCGCCTACATCCTTCTTTTGAGCCTATCGCCTGTGAAGCTGAACCTGTCCTCCCAAGCCCAAGTCTCTTTTTTCATTCCTCTGGTGCTTACAGTTTCCCAAAAAGATTCCTTTTTTGGCCTCAGTGCCAGGTTCTCACCCCCTTTCACTCTCATATGAAGGTGGAGGTTCACCCCACCATTAATGTGGTCCCCTCTTGTCCCCACCCAGACTTCTCCCCAGCCCCCTTCCTTTCCTGTTACACTTTCAGGACTCCTCTGTTCCTTCTGGCACATCTCTCCAGGTGTCATCCTTCCCTCCCCTATCAAACCTCTTTGGTTCCCTCCATAGTCCCTCTCCAATCTCTTATGCTCTTACCTCACCTGCTCCTGAACTCGTGTATCGCCTTTTCCCTTGTCTGCTGAGACACTTAACACTGTTCCGAACTGTATTGCAAAGATGAAACCCTCGATTGACACGTAAGTGCTCCTTCTGCCCCTTCTCATTTTTCACAACTCATTAGCATCTTTTTTCCTTCACAGCATTCCCGATTCCTCCTTGCTACGGCTTTCAGTACCATCCACAATGACTTCACTGAATCCCTACTAACCAATAGATTTTATTGCTTTCTCAGTTTTGACATAACCTTTCTTTGTAAAAATGACTTATTACAGTGGAATATTAGTGACCTCAGGGGAAAATGGGAAGCTGCAGGTATCTCTCCTAGTTTTCCCAGTGTGTGGTCAGTCTACAAGAAAGCCTGAAGTTTGCTTAGCTGTTATCCATCCCATTTTGGCTATGTGCCATTGCATTCTTCTGATCCCTTTCCTGATGAAATTTTTTACTGGTATAACTGTTTCACGCAGGTCTTGTTCTCTGCTGCCATTATACTGCATCCATTATTTTATCTGCACAGAGTGTTATATAGTTTGCTCTCCTGTGCATTCTGTATCTGATATTGCATTCTTGATCTCTTCTCTGCCACCACCCATCTGTTTTGTTAGGTGGATTTTAATGTTCATCATCATCATTGGGAGTGTCCCACTGGACTCTCGTGTGATCATTGGAGATTCTTCTCACTTCTCATCCTCTTCATGTTTTTTACAGGTGCTCCAACTCATTTTGACTCACACTCAGTGTCTCTCTTGCATTAAACTTTCTATCTGCTCCACCCGTACCAATTGCACTTTGATTACACTTGGTCTGTCTCCGGATTTGGGTGACAGTGATCACTTTCCTATTATCTTCCACTTTGTATTCCCGCACCACCTTGTTGACCCCATTGGCAATTTTCGTCAAGTGAAATTTTTTGACATAATACCTCATCTTACCACTTTTTGTGGGGACCCTTCTTTGTCTCTATTGATTAGCTGTGCACCAGTTTTTTGACCTTAGTTTTGACTGCAGTGGACAGTTACTATTCCTGAAACATCAGGCAAGGCATTCCTCAGACATGTGTGCCTTAGTGGTCTCCAGCATGTGCTATGCAGTGTATTGAAATGTGTTTGCATGGGGCTGTCCTTCAGTGATATTGGACCACAGATCATCTTTAGGATTTTTAAGCAGGCAAGGCAGTTGCTTGCGTGTCATAGTGGATGGCAAATTGCACTTGTGGGAAACCTAACATTTCTACCATTGCCTCGACTATCCCCTATATTTGTTTTTTTTTTTTTTTTTTTTGTATGGAAGTTGTGAGTGGCAAATATATGCTCCAGACCCAAGCTCCCGTTTGAAGGTTGCTCTGTTTAGTGTTTGGTGGAGCCTCTTGAAGTTGCCATGGAAATCAGAACATCTTTTCGTGTCTCCCAAGGGCTTCACCTCTGTCCCTCATTTCTTCTTCTAAGGTCTGCCAGGGAGCAGTCACCCTTGTATTTCTCTTCTAATGAGATGGACCTGTATAATGTACCTTTTACTCTTTAGAGCCAGGGTCCACACTTTCCACTTACTGGTCATCCAAAAGCTTGGGTTGGCCTGAATCCATTCATGTTCTGCATGCTCAGCCTCTCATTCTACAGTCCCTTTTGCATGTTTTCAATCTTGTTGGATGTGATGGGTCCTCCATCAACAATGGAAATCTCCGATTGTACCCGCAATGCAAACCTAGCACTTTCTGGGCTTGATACCTTTCCCTCTATCATCCCATTTGCTCTGACCAGTGTAGTCTGCAAGGTGATGGAACAAATGGTGAATAGATGTCTGGTATGATATTTGGAAGCCTCACAGCAGCTCTTCTCGCCAATATGGCTTTTGTAAGGGCCACTCAAATTTGGACCTCTTGCTCCACTTGATACATACGTAGAAATTCCTTTGCTAATAAATACTCCATTCTTGCATGTCTTTTTTTGATCTCGAGAAGGCATACGACACCACTTGCAGGTAGTAAAACATGTAAGCGCGAGGTGCACTCCTTAGGCCCTGTATTGGTAATCTACCAATCTTCCTTACGGCTTCTTATCTGAAAGAATTTTCATAGGCCCATTAATGGATTTGGAAAAGGTGTAATGACAGGGAGGATAAGGGGGCAATGTGGCTGATGTTGCAGGTGTATTGTACAGGAGGTAGGTACTGGAAAGGCATGAAGAGTTTTTTACAAGATAGTTAGGCTCAAGTTAGAGTAATGTAGGATGAGGTGATTATTTCCACAGTAAAAGTAGCCTTAGACAAGGATGTGTTGATGTCACCGAGGATGTTTAATATATTTTTATACATGGAGTAGTAAGAGAAGTACATGCGAGGGTCTTGGCAAGAGGCGTGGAGTTAAAAGATAAAGAATCACACATTAAGTGGGGTTGTCCCACAGTTGCTCTATGCTGATGACACGTGCCTTGGAATTCTGAAGACAAAGTTGCAGAGATTGGTGGATGAATTTGGGTAGGGTATGTAAAAGAAGAAAATTAAAATGAATACAGGAAAGAGTAAGGTTATGAGGATAACAAAAAGATTAGGTGATGAAGATTGGATATCAATTGGAGGGAGAGAGTATGTAAGAGGTGACTGTATTCAGATATTTGGAGTGGACATGGTCAGCGGATGGGTCTATGAAAAGATGAGGTGAAACATAGAATTGAAGAGGGGAAAAGGTGAGCGGTGCTCTTAGATCCCTGTGAAGACAAAGAACTTTGCCTTTGGGGCAAAGAGGGGAATGTTATGAGAGTATAGTTTTACCAACGCCTTACATGGGTTTGAAGCATGTGAATGAACGTTCAGTGAGGAAAGGCTGGAGGCAGTGGAGATGTCATGGTCTGAGGGCAATGTGTGGGTGAATAAATGCTAGAATTCATATAGTTTGGAAGTAGGAGGGGTGCCAGGCTTTGCCAAAACTGTGTCCAGAGGCTGAGGAAGGGTTGTTGAGGTGGTTAAGACATGTAGAAGAATGGAGCGAAACAGAATGACTTCAAGAGTGTAAAATCAGACTGTAGGGAAGAAGGCAGGGAGGGTCGGCCCTAGAAAAGGTTGGAGGTGGGGGTAAGGAGGTTTTTTGTGCAAGGGGCTTGGACTTCCAGCGAGCATGTGTGAGCGTGTTTGATAGGAGTGAATGGAGACAAATGGTTTTTAATACTTGATGTGCTGTTGGAGTGTTAGCAAAGTAACATTTATGAAGGGATTCAGGGAAACCGGCAGGCCGGACTGGAGTCCTAGAAATGGGAAGTAGAGTGCCTGCACTCTGAAGGAGGGGTTTTAATGTTGCAGTTTAAAAACTGTAGTGTAAAGCACCCTTCTGGCAAGACAGTGATTGAATGAATGATGGTGAAAGTTTTCCTTTTTTGGGCCACCCACTTTTGGGTTTGTGGCCATTTTCTTACCACTGTTGCCATGCTCAGGAGACTGTTTTTCCCATCTCTGCATCAGCCATACTTGCCTTACATAAGAACATAAGAAAGAAGGAAGACTTCAACAGGCCTTCTGGCCTACACAATGCAAGTCCAAGTCTCCTACTGGCTTTAAATCAATTCCCTAACCTAGTTAGATCAGGTCACATTCACTTAAGGAAGAAGCACATCATCTGACCTAGTAGCACAAGCTAGTCAGGTCCAACTCACACCCACTCATGTACAGTGGACCTCCGGTATACGATATTAATTCATTCCTGAGAGCTCATCGTATGCCAAAATTATCGGAACGCGAATTAATCTTCCCAATAAGAAATAATGGAAATCAAATTAATCCGTGCAAGACACCCAAAAGTACTATAAAGAAAACGTTCTATCACATGAAATGTGAAGTTTAATGCACACAAACTGAAGAAGACATGCACAGTTAGTAGTACATACTCTACTAACAATGGAATACATGACACTTACCTTCAATGAAGATCTGGTGATGATTGATGGGACGGCAGGAGGGGAGAGTTTCGAAGCTGTTAATGTTTAGAAGGGGAATCCCCTTCCATTAGGACTTGAGGTAGCAAGTCCTTTTCCGGGGTTACTTCCCTTCTTCTTTTAATGCCACTAGGACTGAACTGGCAGCCTCACCATGCCTAATCACACTATGTATGCCACTACGATTCTTAAATCTTTCAAACCAACCTTTGCTGGCCTTAAATTCACTAACATTACCACTAGTTGCAAGCATTTTTTCAATTAAATCCTCATGCAACTTCCTAGCCTTTTCACATATGATTGCTTGAGAGATGCTATCTCCTGCTATCTGTTTTTCATTTATCCACACCAATAACAGTCTCTCAACATCTTCTAACACTTGCGATCTCTGTTTCGAAAACAGACATGCACCTTTTGCAAGAACATCTTCCTTGATTTCCGTTTTCCTGGCCACCATAGTAGCGATGGTTGATTGGGGTTTTGTATACAACCTGGCCAGCTCTGACACATGCACTCCACTTTCATACTTTGCAATTAGCTCTTTCTTCATTTCAATAGTCATTAGCAGCCTTTTTCTCGAAGGGTTGGCACTAGAAGCTCTCTTGGGCCCCATGGTGACTTATTTTGCAGAAACAAGCACCAAAAACACTTTGATAATATGGAATGTACCGAATGTATGTTTAGATGCGAGCACACTGGCTGGCTTGTGAACACTGGCACACATGGGGCAGTTCAGGCCACATGTGGATTCGTCCCATGGCGGGTTTTTTAACGAGTAGCGAGGCAAAATTTTTGCATTAAAATGTATCGTATACCGGGTTTAACATATACCGATGCCATCGTATACCGGGGGTCCACTGTATTTATCTAACCTATTTTTTTAAACTACACAATGCTTTAGCCTCTAATTGTACTGGAAGTTTTTTCACTAGATCCCCAACTCTATTACCAAACCAGTGCTTTCCTATATCCTTACTGAATCTGAATTTTTCCAACTTGAAACCATTCCTACGAGTCGTGTCTTGGCTAGATATTTTTAGTAATGCTATATACATCCCCTTTATTTATTCCAGGGGGGGGGGGGGGGGGGGGGGGGGGGGGGGGGGGGGGGGGTCCTGTTTTCCATTTATATACCTCAATCATATCCCCCTAATTCCATGCCCTTCTAGAGAGTGCAGATATCAGGGCCTTCAATCTATCCTCATAGGAAAGATTTATTGTACATTGGATCAACCTTGTCCATCCTTCCTTTAGTATGTTTTTCCAGCATTATATATCCATTCTGTAATACAGTGACCAAAACTGTGTCAGCATAATCCTAGATAAGGCTAACCAAAAATCTATTGAGTTGAAGAACAACCTGAGGACTCCTGTTACTTATGCTTCTCGATTAAAGCCAAGAATTCTATTTGCTTTATATTGTGAACATTCATGCACTGTTACTTGGTTTTAGATTACTGTCTAACCAGTAACTCCCAAAATCACTTTTTGGCCATCAGTAATATTAAGAACTACATTATTTGGTTTATATTTCTGGCATGGTAATTTCCTGTCCAAATGCTTAGAATTTGTATTTGTCCTATGTTAAACTTGCATCTGCCACTTCCTGACCACTGCATCAGTCCTATTTCATATCTTGCTCGAGTGCTCTAATGCCACTCATCAAAGAATTGAATGGCTTATTTTGGTTGTCATGGGCAAACTATCTTATTCACTATTTATTCCCTCATCTATGTTTTATGTATATCATGTACAAGGGGCCCAACACTGACTCCCTGGAACACCATTTCTGAAACTTGCCCACTCTGATTCTCTTCTTTTCTCCCCATTATGCAAATTCTCTGCTGCCTATTTGTCAACCATGCCTCTGTCCAGGAAAAAATTTCTCCTAATCCATGTGTCTTAATTTTCCTCAATAGTCTCTGATATGGGACTCATCAAAAGACTTAAGTCCATATATACAATATCAATATTCATTACCATGATCTATTCCTCAAATACCTTAGT